TCCCCAAGCCCCCTTTTCTCTGACTTCCCAGCGAGCCAATGCAGCCCAGCCCAGGCCCATGTCCCCACCTAGTCTCTCCTGCTGCTTCTTCTAACCTAGGCCCTTCCTTTTCACTGTCCCCAGCTTTAATAAACATCCCCATAAATAAGAGAAAGTTCTGGCCCTGGCCGATTTGGCTCAGCGGTTAGAGCGTCGCCCTGCGATCCAGAGAGACTTGGATTTAGTTCCCGCTAAGGGCACGTACCTCGGTTGCAATTTGTCCCAGGCCCTGGTTGGGGTTGTGTTGGAGGCAGCCACTCCTTGTGTCCCTTTCGCGTTGATGTTTCTCTCTCTCTCTCGTCCTCTCTCTCCCTCCCACTCTATCTGAACAAAAAAATTTTTTTTTAAAAATTGAAAAAAGAAAGTTCTGTGGGTGCTGGTCTAGGCTTAGACTGACAAAGGGGGGGTTATCCAGTACCAGGAGGGAAGGGAGGGAGCCCTTGGGTGCTAAAGAGAGCGTGGCTCATGTTGGAGGCACGGAGGCCGGATTCTGAGGGGCCTTGTCAGCCCCTTTGAATTGCCCACCCCTCACCCCAGGACAACAGGGAGCCAGGACCAGGGGAGCGTCCTCTGGCGAATGGCTTCCTATGGGAGTTTTGCAGACTGGATTGGAGGCGGAGGGAGACAGAGGCAGGAGGGATCAGGAGGGGGCTGCCTTCCCTCAGAAGCCTGGGCAGCCCAGGAGCTATCGATGGGGCAGGGCGGAGACGTGGCGGGCCTGTGGCGGACAGCCTGGGGACAGTGGAGAGGGAGGAGGGAGAGGGAAGCCAGCTTCTGGCCGGAGCTTGGTGGACAGAGCTGAGTTCCCGTGGCTGATGTGGAGTGAGGAAGAGGATGAGAAACTTTATTGTTGGTACTTAAGGAAGTGGGCTTCCGTTGTCTAGGCGATACCTCCAGTGTGGCTCACCAGGGACCACACTCGACGGAAAAAACACGGGCTCTGAGCCTGCGGAGTTCCTGGCTGACCACAGGGGCAAGACTGTGGCCCTAGGGTTGGCAGGAGCAGGGACGAAGGCCAGCGGCTTCCTTTCTTTTCAACGACTCCCCCCACCCTCACCACGCCACTCACTCCGAGATGGCTTCCCCTGCACTGAATTCACGGCCCCCTCAAAGCAGCCCCACTCGCCGTGGCCCGTGCTGTTCCTCACAGTTCTGTGCCCGACACACGTCCGTGGTGTCCCCGCAGCCTTACTTCTTCCGGGCTCTTCATTGCGTGGGGAGCGTCTGGGCCTTCGACTTCTGCCCCTAGAAACTGTAACCTTCTCATTCACAAGACCATTTGCTCTTCTTTGGAACACATGAAAATAAAGTCAGAGTACATGCGTCTATTACTCTGTATCACATAATCTCACTCATAATCTCACATAACGTAATTTCACTCATTCTCCGTCCTATGTCTACCATATTTTGGGAAAATATTACCTTAGATGGCTTATTCTGTTTTCTTTTCTTTGTTATTTACGTGTTTTTCTTATTTCCCCTACCGAACACTCAGTCCCAGACAGCAGATAAGAGCTTCCTCATCTGGGTGATTCCAAATCGTCTAACAAAACACCTCAGAGATCCCCCAAACAAACATCTTTTTGGTTTACTTTTACTTTTTTAAATTTAACTTTAACTTTTTTTTTTTTTTTAATCCTCACCTGAGGACATTTTTCCATTTTTTGTTCAGATAAAGAGGGAGGGAGAGAGAGAAAGAGAGAGAGAGAGAGAGAAACATCGATGTGAAGGGACACATCGAGTGGCCGCCACCCGCACGACCAACCAGGGCCGGGGACAAACTGCAACCGAGGTACGTGCCCTTAGCGGGAACCAAACCCGGGTCTCTCTGGACCGTGGGCCGACGCTCCAACCGCTGAGCCAAATCGGCCAGGGCTACTTTAACTTTTTAAAATGTAAGTGTGGTTGGTATAGAATATTATATTCGTTTCAATAAACCAGTAACGCCTCTATTTTGCATCAAGCACTGTAATTAATAGCTAGGGGTAAAAATAAGATCAATAACGAAATCGGGTATATATATTTTTTAAGACTTTTTTTTTTATCTTCACCCGAGGACATTTTTCCATTTTTTGTTCAGGTAGAGTGGGAGGGAGAGAGAGGAAGAGAGAGAGAGATGGCTTCCCCTGCACTGAATTCACGGACCCCTGCAAAACGGTTCCACTCAACGTGAAAGGGACACATCGAGTGGCTGCTACCCGCACGACCAACCAGGGCTGGGGACAAATCACAACCGAGGCACGTACCCTTAGCAGGAACCGAACCCGGGTCTCTATGGACCACAGGCCGACGCTCTAACCACTGAGCCAAATCGGCCAGGGCTGTAAGACTAATTTTAAGAGCAGTTTTTGGGGCCACAGCAAAGATTTCCCAGGGACGCCTCCCCCCACGTTAGCAACGACTTCAGAGAAAGGGAAAGCTGTCTGCTGCCTGTTCTCCCGAACTCTCTGCAGGTGGGGAGAGGAGGGAGGCCATGTGATTAGCCAGAAGGGATGCGGAAAAGAAACGCAGGTGCCGGTCACACAGGAAAAGGGAAGTACTTGTGTTTACACGAATCGAGGCGGCTTCTGCTAACACGGAATAAAGAATATTTTCCACTGGCTGGAGAATCCTGCCTGACCCTGTTCAGGTATTCAGAGTTACCCCCCCAGCTTCATGTTGGGGTTACAGCCTGTCACAGTCCCCCGTTAGACACCACCTTCTCGACTCCCCAAGGCCCTGGAGTGGAAGTGGCCGCTGGGAGCTCTCGGGAGAAGCAGGATTTAGCCACCCAGAGCCTTTTTCTGTGCCCTCTCTGCCAAGGTCACAGACTTTGTCTCCAAAGACCTCTTGGATTAGTGGGGGAGCTAAATGTAGATGTGTGGCCTAGCCGGTGTGGCTCAGTGGTTGAGCACCGACCCGTGGACAAGAGGTCACCAGTTCGATTCCCGATTCCCAGTCAGGACACATGCCCGGGTTGTGGGCTCAGTCCTCAGTGCGAGCGTGCAGGAGGCGGCTGCTCCATGTGTCTCTCTCACTGATGTTTCTCTCTCTCTCTCTCCCTCCCACTCTGTCTGAAACTAAATGGAAAAAATATCCTCGGGTGAGGATTTAAAAAAATAAATAAAACAATAAAAATAAATACATTAAAAAAAGAAAAATCAATAGAAACATATTTAAAAAATAAATGTAGATGTTTGATGGACATATTTATTTATTTTTTAATCCTCACATGAGGCTATTTTTTCATTTCTCTTCAGACAGAGTGGGAGGGGGAAAGGGAGAGAGAGAGAGAGAAAGAAACATCGACACGAGAGAGGCACATTGATTGGTTGCCTCCCGATGACCCCGACCAGGGCCGGGGACGAACCACAGCCGAGGTATGTGCCCTGGGCCGGAATCAAATCCACGATTCATTGGGCCATGGGCCAATGCTCTACCGCTGAGCCAAACTGGCCAGGGCTGGACACATTTATTAGACATTATTAGACTACCAACGTGAGGAGCAAGGTGGCAGGAGAGTGATACTGGAAAGGTAGTTAGTCTGGGAACCATCTGTGAAGGACCTGGGGTGACCCTTAACCTAGGGCAGAGGTGAGAAACTCAGAGCTCAGACCAGGCATGCGAATGAGTGAAATTGACCGGGTACTAGGGAGTGGTGGGGATTGCGGCCAATGGAGAACTCCTGGCCTGTCTAAAGGGGGCAGCACTCTCAGCCGCAGCCGGTTGCTACCCTGTGGCATTGTCGGCCCAGCGTAGCCAGATTTCACGGTTTCCCAAGAGAGGCTGGAAACACAGGTTGTCACAGGACAGTCCTAGGTTTTTAAAACGTGGTTCAGATCGAACTGGTTTCCCAAGCAGCGAAGGCTCGCAGGCCACACCACGACCCCCCGGGCAGGTCGAAGGGCGCTCATGCCGGCTTTCATGTGACAGGAACGAAAGGAGAAGGATGTGTTCGGATCTGTGCTTTAGAAAAACCGCATTGCAGCGTGGGAGAGGGATTACAGGGAACGGGCCGAGGAAAGGAAACCGGTTAGGAAACGCGGCAGTTTCGACAGCTGGGAGGCGACTGGCCCGAGCCAGGGCGGGGGCCCTGGAGAATGTTGTCGGGTTGATCGGGAGTGGAGGACTCAGTGGGAAGAATTTAATCTGCATCTGGAGGACGGCAGGCATTCCCGCAGCGACTCCCTCTCCTCACCCCTTTCCCGCCCTGGGAGCTGAGAGGCACAGGGCAGATAGATTATCTTGAAAACCAAAGGAATGGAGATTTTAGCCAAGACTCCGACTGCAGCGCAGTCTAATTTTACCCATGATTATTTTAAAGATAGACTCCTTGACCAACTGCCCCAACCCTCATTCGCCCCCACCCGTGGGCTCAGCATGTAATATTTAAAAAACCCCCAAAACATCGATGGTGTTTTGGCTCTTGGGGGCAGGGGGACGCTCAGAGCCATGTCCTCTTTTACAAACAGCAGAGGGAGGATGGGCGGCCAGACAAGCTGTTTCATGGAGACAGATCTATGAGAAGTGGTTTCAGATCCATGTCATGGTCCCTCTGGTTGCACAACTAGTCACTTGGGTTCAGGGAAGGAGGCAAAGGGTAGGAGGTGGTGGATGAAGGGGAGGAAAGGCCCACACACTTCATTTCAAAGAACTTCTCTTGACACCCAAAGAGTGCGGTTTCGAGAACCGCTTTCTTCTGCAGACCCTTCTGGTGACCGAGGGCTGTGTTTTTGGGTGTGGGCACAGGAAATGGCTCTGAGCCTCTCTGGTCTCTGGCAGCACTGAGGAGCGCCCCTTGGGATGAGGGAGAGGACCGGGCAGTCAGGCAAAGGTTAGGGAGGAAAGCGAAGCAGAGGCCCAGGGCTGCTCCCCTCCCGGGAAATGTTTGTATTTCTCCTCCGGGAGGGAGGGAGGACAAACAAGCTTTTTTCTTGCCTTCTGGGCAGCCTGGCTCTCTCCGGCACCGGGTCTGTGGAGAAAGAAGGCGGCCAGAAGGAGAACGCCTTGGGGGGCTGGACGCCCCAACTTCTCTCCAGCATGAACCGCGCTGGACCTGCCGGCCGCGTCCCACGAATGACCGCATTTCCCAGCCTGGCGGGGCTCCATGCTTGGATTCTCGGGGACACAGGCAGCCTGTGACCCAGGCTCCGGAGAAAGGACACCCCGAGGCTCTCATTTCCCGGCTGAAGTGGCTGTCCTCCGTGCGTGGGGCGCCTGCCTCCCCCTGCAGGTGCTGTCGCGGGTACCTGCATCCCAGGCGAAGAAGTTAGAAACGCAGCATCTGGGTGAGTGGCGGCATTCAGATAAACATCTGTGTCTGTGTGGGGAGCCCTGGGGCCGGCACCCGCAGCGTGCTTCGCCCTCTGTGCACCATGCACAACGGGTCGTGCTGCCTCCTCCAGGGGGACCCCATATCTCAGGTGATGCCCCCGATGCTGATCCTGTTCTTCGTGCTCGGGGCCCTGGGCAATGGCATCGCCCTGTGTGGCTTCTGCTTCTACATGAAGACCTGGAAGCCGAGCACTATTTACCTTTTCAACTTGGCCGTGGCCGACTTCCTTCTGATGGTCTGCCTGCCCTTTCGGACGGACTACTACCGCAGGGGCAGGCAGTGGGCCTTTGAGGACATTCCCTGTCGGGTGGTGCTCTTCATGCTGGCCATGAACAGGGCCGGGAGCATCGTCTTCCTCACGGTGGTGGCCGTGGACCGGTATTTCAAAGTGGTCCACCCCTACCATATGGTGAACGCCATCTCCAACCGGACTGCGGCAGGCATCGTCTGTGCCCTTTGGACCATGGTCATCCTGGGGACTCTGTACCTGTTGACGGAGAGCCACCTGTGCAGGCAAGAGGACACCGTGTCTTGTGAGAGCTTCATCATGGAGTCGGCCAACGGCTGGCATGACATCATGTTCCAGCTGGAGTTCTTCCTGCCCCTGGGCATCATCTTGTTTTGCTCTTTCAAGATCGTCTGGAGCCTGAGGCAGAGGCAGCAGCTGGCCAGGCAGGCTCGGATGAGGAAGGCTACCCGGTTCATCATGGTGGTGGCGGCCGTGTTCATCACGTGCTACCTGCCCAGCGTGTCGGCCAGACTGTACTTCCTCTGCACCGTGCCCTCGAGCGTCTGCGACCCCTCTGTCCACGTGGCCCTCCACGTGACCCTCAGCTTCACCTACATGAACAGCATGCTGGACCCCCTGGTGTACTATTTTTCAAGTCCCTCGTTCCCCAAATTCTACACCAAGCTCAAAATCCGCAGTCTGAGACCCAAGCGTCCAGGACGCTCCAAGACACAGAGGCAGGAGGAGATGCCGATTTCAAACCTCTGCCCCCGGAGCTGCGCCAGCCTGGCCAGCAGCTTGCAGAGCCAACAAGGTGCGTCATGGGACCTCCAACGGCGCTGAACCGGCACAGACAGACAGCAGACAGGCTGGAGGAGGACAGGCGGTGACACAGAACTAACTCACGCTAAGGGGTCGGGGGCTTTGAACAGGCTGCGCTTTCTTGGCCGTGGTCCCCCTCACTGTACTGGAAACAGTCCAGGCTACTGGAAGGTCCCGGTTGAGAAGTGAGTCGGTTGTATTTATGTCGTGTGGTTACAAGGACAGGGGACAGTGTGTGCTGGGCGGGGGAGGGGGCTTAGGAAGCGAGGGGCTTCAGTGTCATTTTAAACCATTGAGGAAATAGCTACAAGTGTTTAAACCGGTCATGTTCTTCCCGGGAAGTTAGTGACCTTGGTGTCGTCTCAGCATTTTCTCTCCTCCGACCTTCAATCCTTACGTGTCTTGGAAAATAGAGAGCAGACTGTTTCGGGCTGAGTGAGGCTCTGCGGACTGGACTGGCTTGATCCCAGGGATTTTCATCCTCATCCTCGGAGGGCCCCTCTGTCCGTTTCTCGACTTGTCAGTAGCCCAAGAAGAAAGCCAGCAAAACAGCCTGCTCCCGGCTCCACGTTTTGGCTCAAGCCTCACGCTGAGGGGTGTGTTTACCTGCCCTGACTTCCCCGGGGAGCGGAGGCCTTTGGAAGTGTGTGTCCAGGGTAAATGCTTTGGCCTGCTTGCTATGTGACTATGGGTTGAAATGATTCGTTCATTTCGTTCTCCAGTACTGACTGACTTCCTTTTGTGTGCCAGGCACGGTGCTGTGTCCCTTCTCCCTGGAAGGTCGCTAGTCAACTCTCATAGGACGGCCAAGTGTTTTGGTGGGGGCAGGGAGAGAGGTTAGTGACCTTCACACTTTCAGAATAGCTTGTAGACCACTTTCTGTAAACAGTGTTTTCCTTATGGCTTCTGTTTTCCAAGGGTTCTGTGCACACACCGAGGCGGGAGAGGGTCAGTGTCCCTTACGCACGTGGGTCCCCCCCTAGAGCCCTCAAAACCAGAGTTCTCTATGAGAAGACAGGTTGCTGTGCCCTGGATTCAGGGGGGAGAGTCCAAGCCAACCTTAGCTCCTTTTTTTTTTCTTTTTAAAACAAAGTTGTTTTTTTTTTCTGTATTGATTTTAGAGAGAGGAGAGGGAGAGGGAGAGAGAGACAGAAACATGGATGAGAGAGAACATCGATTGGCTGCCTCCTGCATGCCCCCCACTGGGGATCGGGCCCACAACCTGGGCATGTGCCCTGACCGGGAATCGAACCGGCACCCTCTTGGTGCAGGGTCGATGCTCAAACACTGAGCCACACAGGTTTGGCCTTAGCTCCTTTTTCAAGCCACAGAGCGGTGACCGGCGTTCCCTCGAGTCTTTATTTCCACTGTCTCCAGTTCCCAGGGTGCTCTCTGCACTCAAGGGCCTTCCCGGCTTTTTGCTCTTGGGCCTCCGGACACCCCCGTCGGCCTTTGCAGAGGCCCCGCACGGGCTAGTGACAAAAAGCATGGGCTCTAGAAAGTCAGGTGAATCAAAGTGTGGATCCCAACTGCTTACTAGGTGTGTCATCTGGGGGCAGGTTGTCGTTAACCACTTTCAGCTTTAATTTCCTCACCGGTCAAACAGGGGTAATGATCATATTGGCTTCAAAAGGTCGTTGGGTAGATTCAATGAATGGGGGATCCTGAACATGGGGACTCTGTTCACGTTCTATCCGTGGTGCTTAGAAGGTGGCGGCATACAGTAGGTGCTCAATAAATATTCAAAGAAACGAGTGAGTTTCCGGAAAGCATGAAGCATAGCCTATGGCAGTCAGTAGTCAATATTATGGCTTGTTATGTTCACATACTTTACATGTAAAGAAACTGAGACACAGGGGGGGTTTCCTTCGGGGGTTCAGAGCCCCTCAGTAGCTACTGCCCGGCTGCCCGGGGAGGGCTGAGCGCCAGGGGTCTAATCCGCGTCAAAGCGCCTACACCCTCCGGATGGAAATCTGTGAAAACCCACACTTCTGCTTTTCATGCTATTCTGAGTTAGAATTCTTTCCTGGGCTGCTCCTTTGTTGCTTCATTTCAATAAAAATGTGTTTCTAATGCAAGTCCTGTGTGTGTGGCCCTATGTTAAATGACTCATAAGCTTTGACCCTCCACAGGAAAAAGTCTAAACAATCCAAAACTCACTAAAAGTCAACAAGGGCAAAGCAAAAGCAAAAGCAAACAAAAACCCCAAAGACAGGCTCTGATTGTACTTCCCTTTTCAAGTTCATAGATGGTGGCCAAAATAAATCTTATCAAGAAACGTTCTTCAGCCCTGGCCGGGTAGCTCAGTTGGCTAGTGCGTCGTCCTGATACACCAAGGTTGGGGGTTCGATCCCCAGGCAGGGCACAGACACGCGTCAACCAGTGAATGCAGAGACAAGTGGAACAACAAATCGATGCTTCTCTCTCTCCCTTCCTCTCTCTCGCTAAAAAAATAAACATTCTTCAGAAATTGTCAGGAAGAGGAGGAGGATGGCTTTGTTGACATAGATTGTTTAAACTACCTGGAATAGGAGAATGTAGTCAATTTAGAAGAAAATGTTTGTTCCACTTGGGTTCTTTTGGGGAAAGTGACATAAAAGTTAGAATGAATATTAGACCATATATTCTTTGGAAATTGTATGAAAAAAATAAGAGGTACCTTTTATTGATGCTGATCGTATAAAAAAAAATCCAGTTTTGGCCTATGCTCTGAATGGCCTTCCTTACCCTTTATTAAAAGAGAAGTGATTAAAAAATAGACTTTTAAACAAAGACTATAACGAGACAGAGGAGGACACAGCAATTCCACTTCTGGGTATTTATCCAAAGAAACCTAAAACCCAATTTGAAAAGACACATGCATCCCTATGTTCACTGCAGCATTATTTACAGTAGCCAAAATATGGAAACAACCTACGTGTCCATCAGCGGATGATGGACAAAGGAGTGGTGCAGAGACACAATGGAATAGTACTCAGCCATAAAAAAGGATGGAATCTTGCCATCTGCGACAATACAGATGGACCTAGAGGGTACTGTGCTGAGTGAAATAAGTCAGACAGAGCAAGATAAAGGTCAGATGATTTCACTTACATGTGGAATCTAAAAAATAAAATAAACAAGCAGAACAGAAACAGACTCATAGACACAGAGATCATTTTAACAGCTGCCAGATGGGAGGGGGAGTTGGGAGGATGAGTTAAAAAAAGGTGAGGGGATTAAGAAGTACATATTGGTAATCACAGAACAGTCCAGGGGATGTTAAGAACTTCATAGGGAATAGAGTCAATGATATTGTAATAACGATGTATGTATGGTGCCAGGTGGGTACTAGATTTATCAGGGGAATCACTTCGTAAATTATATAAATGTCTAACCGCTATGCTGTACACCTGAAACTAATACAAAATAATAGTGAGTGTAAACTGTAAATGGTGTCTAGTTTCTCGGTTTTGTTGTTTGTGTGTTTGGTGTTATACCTAAGAAGGCTTTGCCTAAGCCAAGGTCAGGAAGACTTACTCTTCAGTTTTCTTCTAAGAATTTTACCTTTTACATCTGACGTATTTTGTGTTAATTTCTGTGTACTGTGCAAGGAAGGGGCCCAACTTCAGTCTTGTGCATGTGGCTATCCAATTGTCCCAGTATCATTTATTTATTTAAAAATTGATTTGAGAGAGAGACATGAATTTGTTCCACTTAGCTGTGCATCCACTGGTTGCTTCTTCTTCTTTTTTAATCCTCACCCAAAGACATTTCTCTTCAGATAGAGCGAGAGGGAGAGAGGGAGGAAGAGAGAGAAAAACATCGACTGGTCGCCACCCACACAACCCCAACCGGGACCAGGGACAAACTGCAACCAAGGTATATGCCCTTAGCAGGAACCGAAACTAGGACTCTCTGGTCCGCAGGCCGACGCTCTAACCGCTGAGCGAAACCGGCCAGGACCATTGGTTGCTTCTTGTATGTACCTTGCCCAGGGATCAACCTGCAACCTTTGGCATACTGGGATGAGGCTCTAACCAACTGAGCTACCTGGCCAGGGCCAGCATAATTTATTAAAAAGGCTGTTTTGTCCCACATTGGTTGGTTTAAGTATGCTTTTATTTTATTTTACTTTATGGATTTGAGAGAGAGAGGAAGGGAAAAGGAGAGAGAGATAGAAACATCAATGCTAGAGAACATTGATTGGCCGCCTCCTGCATGCCCCCCACTGGGGATCGGGCCCACAACCTGGGCATGTGCCCTGACCGGGAATCCAACCAGCGACCTCGTGGTGCATGGGTCGACGCTCAACCACTGAGTCACACTGGCCAGGCAAGTGTAAGCATGCTTTTAAAACTCAGCTGACCGTAGGTACACAGGTCATTTCTGGATTCTCAGTCTTGCTCTGTGGATATACGTGTACATCCTTGTGCCAGGACCACTCTGTCTTGATTCCTGTAGTGTGCAGTGTGAGTTTAACATCAGGGAATTGTGTTTTTAAACTTCGTTGTTTTTTTCCCAAGTTCATTTGGTTATTCTGATTTTTTTTTAAGATTTTTAAGATTTTTAAAAATTGATTTCTTTAGAGAGAGAGAGGAAGGGAGGAGAGAAACATCAATGAGAGAGCGAAACATCAATCGGTTGCTTCCTGTACACCCCCTGCCCTCGGGTTTTTTTTGTTTTTTTTAAATTTATTGGGGTGACATTGGTTAATACAATTATATAGGTTTCAAGCGCATGTGCTCTTAAGGTTCTTAACATAAAATTCAACGCTAAGTTTCCAAGTCAGGAAATACCCTTCTTCTTCTTCGAATTTTTATCTGATTTTGAGCCAAGCTGATGACATGGCCAAGAAGCAAGCTGTCAAATGCTCTTCTTTCTTTTTACATGTTCCTGCCGGTCAGCATCCCCAGCTTCCTCTCTACCTCCTTACACCCCAGCTCCCCCTACTCCATCATCTTCATTAATGGTCCAGATGTCTCTTGTTTCCCACTAGCCAAGTGTCCCAACTCCAGGTCATTTGCCATCTGCAGAGGCAAGTCTCCCACCATGTCCCCAGGGAACCCCGCTTCCTGTACCCCCTCCCCAGTGGCATAAGAAACGGCTCAGTGACTTGCTGTCAGCAACAGGCTGGGGTGCAGGTGATGTTCGAGGATCTCTGCGCGCAGGCATTAATGAGGTTGACTTGTGAAGCCGGGCAGCAAGACCTCCAGCCTGCTCTGCAGAAAGAAGGTGCAGAAGCCACCAGAGACACACAGACCGCGTGGACAAGCTCAGCACATACCCGCAGGCGCTTTGTGAGGGGTCAGGGAGGTCACGTGTATGATACCTGGCACACATTGTTGATAAATGGTCGCTATTATTATTTTTATTTAAAAAAAAAAAAAAGAATATTTTGCCCTGGCCGGTTTGGCTCAGCAGTTAGAGCGTCAGCCTGCGGTCCAGAGAGACCCGGGTTCGGTTCCCACTGGGGGCATGTACCTCAGTTGCAGTTTGTCCCCGGCCCTGGTTAGGTCGTGCAGGTGGCAGCCACTCGATGTGTCCCTTTCACGTCGATGTTTCTCTCTCTCTCTCCCTCCCACTCTATCTGAACAAAAAATGGAAAAATGTCCTCGGGTGAGGATTAAAAAAAAAGGATATTTCCATCCGGTTCAGTGGCACGCGTTCAAGCGGCGTGGAGATTGGAGGTAACCGTGAATGTCATAGATCGTGAGCAGTCTTCCCACAAAACTCGATGGAGTCACCTCCGTAGCTGTCGACGTGATTCATTGTAACAAGTTTCTGTAAACTCATGCACTAGCAAGAAAAAGAATAAATACATAAAGGAAGGGCATACATGAGTCAAAACACGCCCAGGGGAAGAGGAGAGACTGGAAATTCCATAGCAGGCCCCGGAGTCCGAGGAGGCCAGGCTGACATTCTGCCTGAGTGACTCTGACCTTGAGTGTAGACGCGACGTCCAGCCTTCCTCATCGCACGGCACATGTAGACCGATTACTCCAATTCTGCGGCACACTAAAAAATACATTTTTTTGCCGATCTGGAAAAAAAAAAGGGTATGCTTCTATTTCATTCACACAAAACGACGACTATTGTGTTGGCCGTTGTCATTTTTTAATTTGACAATCGAAGGAAAAAAGAGGTCTGTGCCCCTGACTAAGGAGTCAGGTATAACGTGTTTTCAAAATTCTTGCAGCCCATGGGTTAAAAATCCCTGCTTTAGAATCAGAAAATGTGAGGACTTGGAAGGAAGCTTGAAGACCGGGCTGATCCCTTAATTTTCATAGGAGGAACCTGAGGGCTTAAGAGAGTTCACAGCTGGTTAAGGACAGGTGCGAACAAGCAACCAGCCTCTCCAGTTTTTCTCTTTTTTCAAACGTAACAATATGTGTTGTTCTTTTCTGATTTGGTCCACGATTATTGTTTTATTTTAATGTTTATTTATTGATTTTAGAGTGAGAGAGAGAGAGAGGAAGGGGAAGAGAGAGAGAACATCAATGTGTTGTTCCACTTATTTATGCATTCATTGGTTGCTTCTGACTGGGGATCGAACCTGAAACCTTGGTGTATCGGGACAATGCTCCTGGCTGGGTAGCTCAGTTGGTTGGAGCATCATCCCAATATGCCAAGGTTGTGGGTTTGATCCCTGATCAGGGCACATACAAGAATCAGCCAATGAATGCATAAATAAATGGAGCAGCAAATCCATGTCTCTCTCTCACTCCCTTCCTCTCTCTCTCTCAAACCAATAAATAAAAATAAATCCCAATTATAAAATTGTAAAATTTAGAAAGGGAGGGTCTTTGGCCAATTTTAGCTCCCAGAAATAACTTACCAGTTGGTTTTTCTGACTTTTAGTTAATAAAGACCCTTCGGATGACTTGACGAATATCCCTGACAAGTCCACATTTGTCCAAGAAGAAAGTGTGATAGTCACAGGCAGCAAGGATGTCAAACAAATACTCATCATTTCACTAGAGCCTTAGACACCCACGTACTGTGACCTCAATCCGGCACAGCCCTACAGAGGAGGCAGCGTGTGCAATGGTCAGAGACACGGGCTTTGGTGCCAGGGCCCGATCCATACCCCAGCTCTGCTCTTACTAGCTGGGTAGCCTTGAATATATGACCAACCTCTCTGAGCTTCACTTTCCTCATTTTGAAATCTGAGTCAGTAACAGTCCCTACCTTACAGTCAGGGTAAGACAAGAGGATCTATTTAAGGCACCGAGCGATGAGTCTGACACACTGGAAGCCCCCTGTAATGTCAGAGCCAATTTCACCTTTATCATCGTCTTCATCATCAAGTATGTCTGCTTCCTAATATTAGATCATCCTGACTAATTTACTGTCAGGAATCTAAGAACCTCTGCTACTGAACCTGGGTATGCAAAGAAAGAAACAACTTTCCTGTTTCTAGCTCAAAATAGAAGCAATTTAGAAACTTCTAGCACAGCAAGAAGTCAACAGACCGAAATGACACAGGGTAGAAATGTTCTGTTGGGCTACACCCAATTATACTGAAAAGCAAAGACATGATGTGTGAAATGGTGACCTGTTTTGAAGCAGAGTTCAAAGTCCTCTTAGGTCCTGTCGCTCTAAGTCTAAATATCCAAAAAAAAAAAAAAAAGGAAGGGGGGACTTTTCAAATATCACATGCTTAGTGGCGGAGGCTGTGCGTGCTCTCTGCACTTTTGGCTCCGTTTGGCTGAGAATGTCAAACGGCTCTCAAAAACAAAGCTTGCTAATTTTTTTAAAAAAATCACATACTCAGATTATAAATCACTTGAGCACGAGAGCGTATCAAAATCCGACTCAAACAGAAGCCTCCGCTGGTCGTCACATACCCCTGGCGTGTTTTCCATGTCTCAGGAAATTGTATGCTGCTCTCAAGTGGCTGATTTTTTTTTTTTTTTTCCTTTTGCAAAGTACAGATTAATTGCATGGTTCTGGAAAAGCAATCCATGTTTGGAGAGAGTCAATGGCACGGGGACATAACACCCATACATCAGTCCTCATAAAATAGACAATTGCTGTCTTCTCAGCCTTCTGCAGAGAAAGCATGCATGTTGCTGCCCAAGTCATTTGCACACACTAATATTTGACTCGTGCTTGATGCTGCTGGGAAGCCAGACTGCTCAGAACCCCGAGTTCCCACTGCTGTTCTTGCACCCGAGCGAGCAGGGCGACCCGAGACGGTGCACGCCCTCTCCGGGAGAGGCCCACAGGCGGGCAAAGGGATGCCCTCCACGCTGCCGTCATCCCCAAACCACCGCCAGCCTGCCCCAACGCATCCTCTACATTCAGAAAATGTTGTGGGTTTCCGTCTGTGCCCGGGGGATTTTCATTACTTGTTTATGCAAACAGCAGGTTGCATAAGAGCCTTGCTGGATCTCTGTCTTTTTTTTTTTTTTTTTAAGTGATTTCGTAGTTTCCTGGTAACCATTCAGTCATCTGTTTCAACACCCCGACGTGCCATAAAGGCGGGCGCGGAGCACACGCCGCGCGCAGACAGACACACGCCTCCTGCCGTGCGCACCGGCTGGGGCAGCGCCCGGAGGTCCGCTCATGACGCCGCTCCGCCCGGAGGAGCCCCACTTCCTGCAGATACACCACAAGAACTGCTGCGTGTTCCGGGACGACTTCATCGCCAATGTCCTGCCGCCGGTGCTGGGGCTGGAGTTCGTGTTCGGCCTCCTGGGCAATGGCTTCGCCCTGTGGATCTTCTGCTTCCATCTCAAGCCCTGGAAATCCAGCCGCATCTTCCTCTTCAACTTGGCCGTGGCCGACTTTCTGCTCATCATCTGCCTGCCGTTCCTCATGGACAACTACGTGGGGAAGTGGGACTGGCGCTTCGGCGACATCCCGTGCCGGCTGATGCTCTTCATGCTGGCCATGAACCGCCAGGGCAGCATCATCTTCCTCACCGTGGTGGCCGTGGACAGGTACTTCCGCGTGGTCCACCCCCACCACGCGCTCAACAAGATGTCCAACCGCACGGCCGCCGCCGTCTCCTGCGTCCTGTGGGCCGTCACCATCGGCCTGACGGCGCACCTGCTCTACAACCAGATGCTCATCCCGAACGCCGATGCCTACCTGTGCAGCAGCTTCAGCATCTGCTACACCTTCCGGTGGCACGATGCCATGTTCCTCCTGGAGTTCTTCCTGCCCCTGGGCATCATCCTCTTCTGCTCGGCGCGCATCATCGGCAGCCTGCGGCGGCGCCAGATGGACCGGCACGCCAAGATCAAGAGGGCCATCACCTTCCTCCTGGTGGTGGCGGTCGTCTTCGTCCTCTGCTTCCTGCCCAGCGTGGCGGTGCGCATGCGCGTCTTCTGGCTGCTGCGCACGGTGGGCACGCGCCACTGCGACGTCTACCGCTCCGTGGACCTGGCCTTCTTCGCCACGCTCAGCTTCACCTACATGAACAGCATGCTGGACCCCCTGGTCTACTACTTCTCCAGCCCGTCCTTCCCCAGCTTCTTCTCCGCCCTGTTCCGCCGCTGCCTCCGCAGGAAGGCGCCGCCCGGGGAGCCGGAGAACAACCGCAGCACCAGCGTGGAGCTCACGGGGGACCCGAGCACCGTCAGGCCCGTCCCCGGCGCCCTGATGGGCGACCCTGCGGGGCCCTGGAGCCCCTCCTATCCGACTGCAGCCTCTCGCTAAAGCGCCGCGCCGGAGGGAGGCTGTCGCCAAGAACCAGGATCGCCGGGGACCCAGGTCGGCGGGTGCCCGGAGGGGCCTCTGCGACGTGGCCCGGGCTTCCCAGGAGGATCTGATTTAGGGAAGCGGTGCGGGGAGGGCTGGGCCGCACGGTGTCTCCGCACAGACCTCGAGGGTTGGAGACGCGAGTGTCTGGGCGCCACGCGGGGCTGGACGCGGCAAAGCTGCCCACGCTTCTGCCCAGCGAAGCTGGGGCCCCGGAGACGCGGCCCGCGCCTGTGATTCTCTTCGCCTGCCTGTGACTCGGCGGGTTCTCAGCTCTTGCTCCTGGAGGAGGCCTGGGCGTCCTCTCTCAAGCCCTGGACCTCCTGGGGCGTGTGGGATGGAGTCGTCTTTCAGACAAGCTTTAGCAGAACCGGGCTACACAAAGAGACTCATGAACTTTGGTCAATATCCGAGTTTCCGACGGTGGTAAGAAGGGAACTCGCCCGCAGAGATTCCGAGCCCAGCAGTGTTACCAAGGGAAAGGAAATGGCATACGTGCTGCAGCCTGCACTTAATCCTGTTCCCCTCTTGTTGACACTCCCGTGAAGGCTGAGCAGTTAAACAGGCTTCAGGGAAGAGAGCTGCTCCCCACCTCTGTTTGCTTTTATCATTAAAAGGGAAAATGCTGCAGATGGCTAGAGGGGGAAGAGGCCTCCTGGTCCGTGTGCTTGTGTTTCTGTACTTACAGGGAAGCTACACGTCAATACCCTTGGATGTGGGACACACGGTCTGGTGTTGTGTGTGTCTGGGCAACAGTTCACAGAAATGAAACTTGTTACTCAAGCGGAGACTTTTATGGGTTGTGAACTGTGTCCTGGTAGAGAAAACACCGTCTCCTGTAATGTGAGAGGCGCCGTGGATGCTGAAATTCCACAGGCTCTGAGACCAGGATGGGACAGGGCAGGGGATGAAAAAAAGAACATTTAAATTCGGAAGGGTAGTTGCATTTTACATCGTATTTAGATTTTGGTGAATCTTGCTATTACTCTTTGTGAACTTAACAAGGGATCAGGCAGCTGAAACCTACATAATTTTATTAACCAATGTCACCCCAATAAATTCAATATAAAAAGGAAACGGACCAGCTGGAGTTTTTGCATAGAAGGGGGAAGAAAGAACTTCCCATGGAGTAGTTTCAGTTCCCAGTTCTGGGATGGAAAGAAGATGTCCCGGTTTGAGTCTATGATCCGTCCGAGTTTCTGCTATGCTTTCGTTTCCAGCTTCTGTCTCTCCTGGATTCTTTAGCAAGACCAGGCTTGCTTTGTCACTCTGGCTTGGGCACAGATAAGAAAGGCAGATACTCGGGCTCCCAGCTCATCTGGTTCTCCAGTCAACTCCTAGAGGTAGAAAGTTGAAAGCAGAGATTACCTAACGAGGAAGTCAGGGCAGAGATGAGCTCAGGGAAAGTACGGATTCCCCAGCCTCAGTGTGAAATTCTCACCTGTTCGGAACTGACACCCCACGTTTGTCCATTTGCTCATTTATTTCATTAGCTTTTGCAGATTAAGCACCAACTGCTCTGCGTGGTTGGTGGAAATAAAACAAGGAACAAGGTGCCTAAGACCCTCCTCTCAAAGAACCCACATTCAAGGCACGGAGGCAGATGGAAAGGAAGGATGCAAATGAATGGAAAGGGAACTCCGACAGCTATGACTGTTAGGAAGACAGTGAAGCAGGGGGACAGGCTGAAAAGGGAGTGGGGCCAGGATGACTGGGAAGATCTGCATTGGAAAGTGACCTTGAGGTGAGCCATGAAGGAGAGGACAGAAATCCAGGGGAAAGCATCCTTGGCAGAGACAGTAGTAAGTGCAAAGGCCCTGAGGTGAGACCTAGTTTGGTTTGTTTGCGTGTATTAGATTCCTAGGGCTGCCCTAACACAGTACCATGGACTTGGCAGCTTAAAACAGCAAACACTTGTTCTCTCACAGTTCTGGAGGCCAGAAGTCTGAGTCAAGGTGCTGGGAGGGTTGGTTCCTTCTGGAGCCTCACTCCGAGATGCTGGTGTTGCTGGCAACTCTTGGCTTGAAGATGCATCACTCCAACCTCTGCCTCCGTCCTCACATGGCCTTCTTCTGTTGGCGCCTGTGTGTCTTCTCCTTTTCTGTCTCTTATAAAGATATTTGTCACTGGATTTAGGGACTATCCTAATCCAGGATGATCTTGTCTCAGGATTGTTACTTTAATTACACCTACAAACATTCTTGTTCCAAACAAGGTCACATTCCGAGATCCTGGGTGGACCTACCTTTCTATGCCCAATTCTGCTCGCTTCCCTTTCAAAACAGAACATTATCTCAATTCTCTTTTAAAAGATGTGCATTTGTGTATTCATTCCTGGAATGACAGACTAGAAGAACACAAACCAAAGCCCAAGCGTGGATACTGCCTGGATGATTTTTCTTTTCCTTCCTGGACTTTTCCTTATTTTAAAATTGCCAGTGATGAACTAAACTGTAATACTATTGCAATTACTTATAAACGTATGTTGTTTTGAAAGTTAAAGCACATTTAGTTATAGGTCTATAAAATGAGGACACAATCATCTTCCTTGATCATCAACAATATTTATAAAGAGAGGAGTCCCTTGCCCTGGACGGATAGCTGAGTTGGTTAGAGCATCATCCTGATACAACCAATGGCCTTGGGCAGTGTGGCTCAGTTGGTTGAAGCATTGCCCCATACACCAAAAGGGTGTGGGTTCAATTCCCGGTCAGGGCGTGTATTGGAGGCAACCAATAGAAATTTCTCTCTCACACTGATGTTTCTCTCTCTCTCTAAAATAAGAAAATAAAAAAGAGCCTGGCTCAGTGGATTGAGTGTCGTCGTATAGACTGAAAGGTCCTGGTTCGATTCCTGATCAGGGCACATGCCCAGGTTGCGGGTTTGATCCCCAGTAGGGGACATGCAAGAGGCAGCCAATCGATGTTTCTCTTCATATTAAAAAATAATAATAATAAAAATAAATAAATAATGCCAACATTAATTTAAAATGGGAGCAAGCAATGTTATTCTGGGCTAAACCAATGGCGTGTTCTGTACTTGGTCTCAGACTGTGGTGCAGCGTGCGTGTGTGCGCGCGGGCGTGCGTCTATATATTGGAAGGGGCAGTTGTAATTTATGCACTTTCCATTGCTTCCTCTTTGTTTTGAAGGGTACCTGTTCTTGGGGGTCATGAGTTCCATGAGTTTACTCTCTGCAAAGTAAAAAGTAGGACTTCTTTCTAGCTGTCCTAGTATTCTGGTCCTTAACGTGACTTTTGATTGAATTTTCAAAAGACTTTCTGAGTATGCTCTGTCCGTTTGTTGGCCTTCCTACAAGCAGCAGTCTTCACAGATGGTCCATGAGGCCCAGCTGACCTCGTTTCCCCCCTGCTTTGTGTCTATAATCAGAATTTAGCTGAGGAATTGGTTATCTACGGAGCCTTGGACTATGGTGGCATTTGGTGAAGTGAGTAGGCACTGGAAATTGATTTACCAACCCACCAGCCATGGGTCATCTGCATTTCCCCCATCTCTTGGTTCAAATTCACCACTTCTTCAAATTGGAATTGAAATTCTTTGACAGTTGAGACTGAGCTGTTCCTGTTACTGGCAAACTTTGTGAGAAGAAAATTCTTTTTTTCCTCCTCACTGTCATGAAAAGATGCCTTTTTTTTTTTTTTATCCTCACCCGAAGACATTTTTGCATTTATCTTCAGATAGAGCGAGAGGGGGAGGGGGGGAAGAGAGAGAGAGAGACACACATTGATGTTGTCACCCACATGACCCCAACCAGGGCAGGGACAAACTGCAACAGAGAGATGTGCCCTTAGTGGGAACTGAACCCAGGACTCTCTGGCTAATACTCTAACCGCTGAGCCAAACCAGCCAGAGCAGAAGATGCCTTTTTTTTTTTTTTATCCTCACCCAAGGACATTTTTTCCATTTTTTGTCAGATAGAGTGGGAGGAAGGGAGGGGAGAGGGAGGGAGAGATAGAGATAGAGAGAGAGAGAGAGAAACATCGACGGGAAAGGGACACATCAAGTGGCTGCCACCCGCATGACCAACCAGGCGCAGGGACAAACTGCAACCGAGGTACATGCCCTTAGCGGGAACCGAACCCGGGTCTCTCTGGACCGCAGGCCGACGCTCTAACTGCTGAGCCAAACCGGCCAGGGCAGAAGATGCCTTTTTATATTTGTTTAATTCAAGGTCTTGTGGCTGCAAATGGCTGAAACCAAGTTCAAATTAGCTGAAGCAAAAAAATAAAATAAAGTAAATAGAGCTCAAAAGAGAGGAAAATCCTGGAAAGACGGTGGCGTACCTCATAGACACTAAGAGAGAAGGAAGCCGGGCTGGGCAGCTGCCAGAGACAGGCGAATGGCCCTTCACCCCAGCTCTTCGCCACGGACATGACTCAGCTCCGTACCTGTGTCTCTCGGGCCAGACTCCGCGGAGAGAATCTGCTCACCCTCAAACCGCCCTATAGGAGAGGGTCAGGACAACGGGTCGCCCGGCAGCTCGGTGAAGGGTATTTTTAAACTATTGTTTGTGTAAAAACATGCTCTCTGCCAGGTGTCCCTCTGATAACATTTCAGATCACCTTTTGTTTCGTTGATTTCAACGGCACGTTTGAGCTTTTAGCAGAGTCGATCTCAATTCTCTTGCTTCCAAAATTCCTGGTAACTTCTAGACTAAGAAGTTCTCATAGCAATGCTTCCTGTGCTTTTATAACCCTGGAGAAAGGTGTGGAGCCCAGGTGTCTGTTATGGGCTGAATTGTGTCCTCCCAAGTTCCTGCTGAAGTCCTAACCCCCAGGACCTCAGAATGGCACTGCATTTGGAGATAGGGCCTTTAAAAGGACAACTAAGTGAAAACTGAGGTTCTGGCCCGGCCGGCGTGGCTCAGTGGTTGAGCGTCAACCCTGCACCAAGAGGTCGCTGGTTCGATTCCCGGTCAGGGCACATGCCCAGGTTGTGGGCCCGATCCCCAGTGGGGGACGTGGAGGAGGCGGCCAATCAATGTTCTCTCTCATCGATGTTTCTCTCTCTCTCTCCCTCTCCCTTCCTCTCTGTCTAATATCAATAGAGAAAAAAAATAGAAAAAAGATCATTCAGATTCTAAAATTTATTGAGGCTATCTTTAAAGAAAAAAAAAACAACCAAAAACGAGGTTCTGAGAATGGGGCCCTAATCCAGTAGGACTGGTGTCCTCCTAAGAAGAGGAGATTGGGACACAGACCCAGAGGGACAACCACGTGACGACACAGGGAGAAGATGGCCGTCTGCAAAGTGGGGAGAAGCAAGGCTGCCAACACCTTATCTTGGCCTTCTGGCCAGAACAGATGCCTGTTGTCTCAGCCCCGCAGTCTGTGGCGCTTGTGGTGGGGACCCCAGAAGACTAAGACAGAGTCCGAGCATCTTCCTTAGACAGGGTTGGGCAAAAGTAGGCTGACAGTTGATCATCTGGAAAATAACACAATAATTACTAAACAATAACACGAGAGTTAGGTCTGTGTTCCGCCACTGTACTCGCCACAGAAACCTGCCTGAGCCCGGTCTTGTACTCCTCGGTCAGCCAGGTTTGGGGGCCTGGCTGGAACGCCGTATGTGTTTATTTAAAGTCACTTATCACCTATAAATCTGAGCAGAACTTCACCTGCGGCCGGCGGTGCTGCACAGCAGAGAAATGCGACTTCAGGGAAGGAGCGGCATGAAGGGCAGGTTGACTTTTCACAGGCAAACATTGCCCAACTGCTTCTTCTCTCTCCCCATCTCCCTTCTGCTCCGTGGCGGGAACCAATCACAGAATCCGCCAACATGCCTATTTTTATTTCACTTGTTTATTTATTTATTTTTTCTTTATTGATTTGAGAGAGAGGAAGGGAGAGGGAGAGGGAGATGGAAACATCGATGAGAGAGAGCCTCCTGCATGCCCCTCACTGGGGATTTGGCCCACAACCTGGGCATGTGCCCTGACCGGGAATTGAACAGGAGACCTCTTGGTGCATAGGTCAGCGCTCAACCACTGAGCCACACTGGCTGGGCCAAACATGCCTATTTTTAAAAAACCGAATGAGAGAAAAAAA